CCCCCCCCCCGGGCGCGGCCCCCCCCCCCCCCCCGCGCCCCCGCCCCGCCCCGCCCCGCCCCACAAGCCTAGACTCCAGGCCGCGAGGTGCTCGGGTCGAGCTGTCAAAGGCTGAGGAAGCTTGGCAGCGGCTGGAGCTCCAGCACCCCGGGGCGGTGCAGGCGAACTGAGAGGGAGAAACGGGACACCTCCGCTGCCTAGGTGGAGTAGATGGTCGTCCCTCCCTCCTGTAAGGGCTCCCAGGACAATGTAATGCTGATCTTGGTAGTCTGGACGTTGGTTTCCCGGGAGCTACTGCTGCCAGCTGGAAAGCAGAGAGCCGCACATGAGCGTCCCCCCCTCCAGCAGTCGGCACAATAGTGCGGTCCCCGCCTTGCCAGGCATAAGGCAAGCGAGAAGGGACGCACTTCTTCCGGCTCGCGAAGCGAGGCTGAGGGACTCAGACCTTCGGTGTTCTGTGACAAAGGCCTGCCGGGATCTCCCGAGAGGCGAAGAGCGAACCTGGGGCCTTCTCGCGTCTAGAAAAGACCCTCCCGAGAACAGCAGAAGATGAAGACTCGCAGCCACAAGGAAATGCGGTCTGACGTTAACCTCCGGAGGGGCAAGAATGGGCTGACTTCTCGGAGAGCTGCTGGCGTTCCAAGAGTTGGAGACTTAGCCACGAAGGCCTTACCTAATTGCAACAGTTCCACGGAGAGACACCTAGTGGAGTATCAGGCGCTCCTGACCCTGCCATGGAGCTCTGACTCTGCTGTTCTGGTTTAAAGGTCCTTTTGAAGCTCGAAACTAGCGGCCTCCTACCACATCCTCAATCATAGCAGAAGGTGAAGTGCGGGCGGGAGTCTTTAGATAAACACGCGAACAGCCGCAGAGAAGAGTGTGGGCTTCCAGAAGCCATCAAAGATAACTTGCTCAAATATGGGCAGGTATCAGTGGCCTTGAAGATGCTGGGAAAAGAAGAGAACAATGCACAAATCAGCTTAGAATATAGAAATAAGTGAGCTTTAAAGGAAAATATTCACTCTCACTACCCCTGTCCAGGAAGAAGAGTGCTGATCTGCAGCTTCCAAGTCTGCTAGACTGAAACGTACAGGCTGCCCAAGCACTGCTGCCTTGGTATGATCCCGACTGTTTAAAAAATAAATTAAAATAAATTAAATACTGGAAGGAAATACACCAAAATGTTCATAGTGGTTAACTGCAGAAGTAAATTATATGTGGTTTTCATTTTCTACTTTGGATTTTTGTATGTTTTCTATAGCTTTTTCAAAGTTTTTGCAAAAGACACAAATTGCCATCATAACCAGAAAAAAAAAAAATGAAAACTTTGACATTTAAATGGCATATACTATGTGATCTCAGTTATACATGCACAGAAAAGACAGGAAGGAAATATGACGAACTGTAAAAGAATGTTATTTTCAACAACTAAGATATTGTCTCCTGTTCTGCTTTGCACTTTACAGTATTTTCCACGTGATAGAGAAACGCTTTAGAAATAAATTAGGTCATTCTGTTCAAAAGTCATAACTCTTGAGATAATGAGTTCAAAAGCCTTTAGGAACTATAAAGCAAAAGTAATGCATTTGTGTTATTATGAAGATGAGTTTACAGTACTTCTCACTGTAAGTTAGCAAATGGCTTTTGGGTGCATTATCAGCCTCTCTGTACACGAATCTGTTTCTCTATAGCAAAGGCAACTTGCAGATAACCTGATAAAGATTCCAGAACTATAGGTCAAACTAGGCCCTGGAATAGCAGTGTAATTCCAAACCTAGGAGCATATCCATCCTGTCCATAACAGATATTCATGAGAGGCATAACTTCCTTGTTTCCACCATATCTTAATAAAGAGAAGACCACGTTGGTCTCTCTGGAGGTTAAATAGCAAAAGGAGGGCTGACTTGATTAATAAATCTAGATATCCCGAGGATTCTGTGGAGATACGCTTTGACATTTACATCAGACCCTATAGACATGTTCCTATTTCTATTAAGAAATTCATGTCATTTACATAGAAATTTTTAAAGATTTAAATGAGTTTTTGATATAGTTCATTGTGAATTTTAACATATCTGAGCGATATAAAAGACCTTCCTTTAATGACAAACTAACATTTGCATGTTCCTTGAGATTAAAAGGTTTTTCATGTATATCAACTTATTCTCATTCTCAAACAATCCTATGAGGAAGAATAGCTATTATCTGTTTATAAATATAAGGAAAATGAGGCACAAAGATGTTAAATGGATATTACAATTCAGCAAATAAGAACTCTCAGTTCTGACCACCAATTCAGTACTCTTAACATCCATTGATTGCTCAGTAATACTGAGATGATTAGTCTAATTTTCATACTTTCCTAGTGACATTTAAGTAGATATTTGTTACAGAAATCTCAAAAAAAAAAAAATAGTTTCTTATTCCACAATTCTGACATTAACCTTTGGGACAAGCCCTGCGCTATGAGTATTTACCTCACCCATTAAGAATATTTGTGAGGCAGAAGACAAGTGCAAGTTAACTGTCCTTTGTCTCTACATAAAAGCCTAAAAGATTTGTTGCTAAAGTAAAATACTATCCGAATTTCACAGAGAAGAAAATAGTACCATAGAATGTACATTATACAAATACTTTACCATTGCAAGTGACATGGTAATGAACAGAGAGCTAATTGCAATCCTAGGTTTTCATGAGATACAATAATAGTGATAGTTTCCAGGTAATTTCCATACTCAACTATGGATTCACTCATGTCGGCCTTGCAAGTATAAAGGACATAAAATAATAGCTTTTAAAAATAATATATTCTCAGAAGAAACTTTCAGAGTTGTAGCTTTTCGGTTTAAGATATGTTTAAAACAAGATTTGATAGCAAATCCGTTTTCCAATATGTTGTTCCACAACATTCTCATTTCTTTTTGATTTTGCCACTTATTACAGAGTTGTAAAAATCAAATGCAAAGTGATTCAGCTGAGCCTCTGAATGAGTAGTAAAAATCCCTCAGATAAATTTTAATTGAGCCTTTTATACATATAGAAATCCTCTGCACATTTTTAAATTTCCCAATTATCAATTTGATTTGTATTCTTAAATTGTTCCTGCCATCTGCATATAAGCACTGAGTATTGAGTATGACTCTTTTACCAATGTTCTTTAGATACACATATGTGTATAACCTTTTAAACTATACATGCAAAAGAGTTCATGAAAGTTTCATCTCTTGTCTTTTAAAAAATCTACATCACTAAGTAATATATATATTTTTTAGTTTTGCTTAGTTTCGAGCATTATAAAAGGGATGTCTTACTGTATATCAAGTTCCTCTGGAAGTTGTTTTTTAACTCAATATAATATAATGAGTGAAATACTTCTAGATCCTTTTATGTTGTTACATAAAATTCAATCCTTTTCACTGCTATATAACATTCCAGTGGGTCATTATCCTTTAATTTATGTATTCATCTTCTTCTATGGACATTTGAGTTTCCAGTTTTTTGCTCTTATGGTTAATGATTTCATGAATTATTTTTGGACTATTTCTTGGTGCATACACACAAAAGTTTTTCTAGGGCATATATCTAGGAGTGAAATAACTGGATAGTTGGGAATAAAAATGTTCAACTTTAAGATTTAGGGCAAAATGGTTTTTGAAAATACATTGTTCCCACTTATACTCCCATAGTGTGATTAAAGCTCCTTAATATGAGAGACTATTACTATAAATTTCATCTTTAAAGTAACTTTTAATATTGTTCCTTTTGGTAAATGGTTAGCTATGAGTATGACCATTAAACCATACCAAATCTTCAATGCTTCTCACAAAATCTTTCTAGATGTGAAATTTAATAATAAATCTTCTGTTTTAAATGCTCTTTTACTAAACAGCCATGCTACCCTGAACAACCCTGATCCTGTCTGATCTTGGAAGCTAAGCAGGGTTGGGCCTGGTTAGTACTTAGATGGGAGACCACCTAGGAAGACCAGGTGCTTGTAG